GGTGGTTTTACCCTCATTTAGGGGTATTTTCCTTCGGATCTAGTGATTGTGGGTTTTTAACGGTTCCAATTATCACGTATAAAAGAAAAAGAAATAAAATTGTTACTTTTAATATATTTTTTTGCAATTTTAGGCGTTTAGGGGATGATTTCACCCCTTTAGGGATATTAAGGGTTGATTTTCAATCCGGACAAGACTGTATCAAATACGAAATTAGATATTTTCACGTCCATAATATGATTTTGATAACAACATAGAAATATTTGGGGTTTTACAACAATTGTTGATGATTCTTAATTTGTTCAATTTTTTGTGTTTTCAACTTCTAAATAAGGGTGATTTTCGAAAATTTTTGAAAAACTGAAAGTGATGCTCATTTTCATTCTTCATGATGAGTTTTTGGATATTTTTAGAATATTTTTAGGATTTTTCCTGCCGCCTCTCTGTCAAAGTCTCAAAAACAGGCGGATTTTGCGGTCACTCTTTCCATGGCTAGCTCGTAGCTCTGACCTTATTGTCTTAGATTTTTTAACTTTTATAAGGAGCACATTAGGAACTAAGTAGGTGTTTTATCTCGAATGTTTATTTTAAGTGGGGGAACATATTGTGCTTAATGATGGACGTTACGCCAACTTATTAAATTAGTAGTGATTATTATTGTTACTACTTTGACTATCACAGTATATCTTGATATCCAAATAATATAAATAAATAAACAGTTTACTTTTTATTTATCGTCATTAGCGTCGGCTAACGCAAAGTGAATACTAGATTCGTGCCAAAAAAATATCGTCGGTGGGAAAGCATGCGCCGGCATCGAGTCGTTAAAATGGGAATATCTCGAAACCCGAGCGATTTATCTATATCAAACAATTATAGCTTTTTCCGTTAACAAAAATCAGCTTATCAAATTATTCATTCAAAATTTAGAAAGGGCTTTACATAAAAATGTTGCTATGAAAGATTGCGTAATTATATCTTGTAGAGTACACACAAGATATTTCAAAATTAAGTTCAGATTCGGATTTGTCGCTCCCCATATCCTAAAGTAGCAATATTTAAGACAGGAATCGTGTTACTTTAATATCTAAAATCAACGGACCACCCCGTATATATGTATTATATGTACTTACCAATATTATTTCACAAATAGTTACTAAAATTAATATTTGTACATACTGTTATGACTTCACTTTAATTATTAACACATTGTCTTGAAATACAGTTTTGTTATTTTGTTTTTTAGGAAGAAATGTTAAATATAAAAGATGTACAAGGTTTTTAAGGTCAATAAGAATGGCGGAATAAAGTTGTTTTTTGTCAACTTGTATATTACGGAACTTAAATTGCTACTGTCATAAAGCATTATTCTGTAACTACTGGCAGAGAGCAACCATCTAATATGTCGGTGCTATGAAAGCAATACTACTATGCGAAAGAACTCTGCTTGTAATTCAATTCTGGACGAGACGTATAGCCTGCAAAGTAGTTGTTTCATTAGCTAAAAATCTTGTATATTATTCGTTTTTCAATATCTGCAGAATTGTCTATTCCAGTGATAAATACTTTTATATGTTTGTAGGTTTAAAGTTGATAAGATATATCAATTGAGCATCCATCAAATTTGGCTAATGCTTGTTTAAAAGTATTAATTAACCAAATAAGAAAGAGATGTTTGTGTCGCTAATCCTAGCATGTACAAGTTGTCCTTCAACGAATGGCCGCATTTCCAGAGTAACTTTCCTACGTGGAAAATAAACCGATTTAGATCAACTGCAATTTTGCTTCCTTAAATTTTACGAACATTGAAAGAAAATTTTTTATTCATATATTTTTTTAAGATATTTCAATGAAACAATACCTAATATTTTCAATTAGTAATATTCAAACATATTCGTTTTAGATGATTATTAAAAATAAAAACAGAATTTTAAAATCAATTTGAAACTAACTCCCTTGAGGCCGGTGTTTTATATAAAAAAAATCGCACTTTTAGTAATATAATGAACAAGTAGATCCATCTAGGAAGTGGTGAAGTGTAACGCCAAACTAAAGTAACTTTTTCTAATTTTTCACAATGAGAGATCACGGAGAACATGTAAACATCAGAAAATATACCTTGTTCAACAGGGGTGCAAAATTCAGGTAAAAGTATGCTTCTTTCATTATTTTGAATGTATTGTCAGTTGTATCCTGCGGAGAACTGATACAGTGTAGAAATATTGTTTTTAACTTGCTTAGATTTTCTAAAATTCTGGACAAAACATTGCGCATACAAACGCTCCTCTTAAAGTAAGAGGAAAGAATTTATATTTAAAGGGAAGGTACGTTTGTATAATCTAATGGAAATCATCTGATAAACAAAATGACACAACTAAAACAATACTTTTTTTAATCATGAAACTGAAATGAATATGATTAAGTCGCAGAGATAAGGCAAACGCAACCAGTGGATATAAATTAGAGGAGTTTAGTTTTCGAGTTGTATTTATAGCCAGTTTAAGGCTACAGTAAGTAATTTTTTTGTGGTATCATTAATTAATTATTCTTCTTTTACTATCTAAAGAAAAGAAACTGCCACTTTCCTTTTCACGTTATGATGTTAATTGAACTCATCTAATATTAATTAAAGTGAGTTTTGTAGAAATATTAAAAGAAAAACAAAACTATTTTCTTCTGAAATAAATTTTAATCTGATGAAATATATTATACTGAATAAGAGAGACTTTTTTAATGACTAATGGGTCCTAAACTCAACCATTTTCGAGCAAAAAAATATCAAAATCTCCAACTTGATGTATAAAAATTCGATTAATTAAGAAATATTTAAATTACTGCGTGCACAGAATACCATAAAATACAATGTTTGTTTCTTTTTTGAACTTCTTTATGCTTAATACTTCTAATTAGCGTTGTAATAAATTTAAAATTCCATAAAATTCCATATCGAGCAATGTGACAACGGTGCGGCGGTTAACACGAAGTCCTAAGCTGTCCATCAACACGCAATTCAATTGGTATCTGGAATTGGACCGTGTCTGAGTGTTTTTTGCGTATCACTATTTGCCTTTCTTAAGGTGTTTTCCAGGGAGTGAGCAAAAATTGGATTCGAAGGTGTCGTGCGTGCATGGAAAATGGTGGTGGACATTTTGAGCATATATTGTAGTTTGTTTTGTACTTGTGCGTTTAAAAATTACTGAATTTTGCATTTTGGTAAGTACCTAAATTATTTTTAATACCTATGATTATTTGGATGACGTGAATCTTTGGGTACTTTAATTACATTCATAATTTGGTTAAAAGTTAAGTTCCTGTTTTAAGAGATTCATAATTACCAAAATTCGAGCTAAAATATTAGCGAGCTATATTTTTGGCCTATTAGCACCCTTGATAAAAACTAATCACGTAAAAAATAGCTACTACAAAGAAATTTTTTTTTTTGGAAACAGAATACAGGATACCTATTTATTTTAATGATGCGTCATTTAAAAATTTCAATATACCAGCTACGTGTTTTTGTTTTAATTATATTTAAGATCTAACAAAATTTTAGTTGAAAATTTGAAGAATGAGTCAAAAAATTCCTTGACCAACTGTGAAACTTCCTTGTCTATCGAGAATTTCCGAGAAGACGCGCCATTTTCTAAGAAAATCGTTGTAAAATCTGATGCCACCATTTTCCGACTCAGCCGCCATTTTCGCTCATCTAGTGACTAAATCGACGCGCACATCATGGATTCCTTAAGTTGAGAAATTTTATGCATCTTTCCAATGGGTTTTAGGCACATACCTTAACGATAAAATCATCAAAACACGGTATAAATGTTGCAAATATGAAAAAATTGCCGTGTTTTTCAAATTGAAAGTCTGTTTTCATGGCCTGTGAGCACCATCTAAAAGAGCATCCCCAGAAAATTCTAGTAGATTTGATTTGATTTTTCGGCCTGGTGCAATGGTGTCGGTTATTCAAAAATTCCTCCCCGAAAATCCAATGTTGACTGTTAATGGATTAAACTAGAGTAAAAAGTGACCCATTTTAGGTATTAGGTACTTCAAAAGCGCCAGCCTGACGCCGGACGGCCTAACTGTTGCAAGCGACAAGAACGAGGCAACGAGGGATATGGTTCCCGGAAGTGGACCAAGGCAGATTAGCGCCAAGAACCAGATAGTTATATCTGCGAGGGACTCCACACCACGAGGACTCTCCAGCGAACACTCACCCCGACAACATATCTTTTTCTCTACACTTAGTTTTCAATAAAAATATTTATTTACCGTTGGGAGTTTTATTTTGCTTCACACCTAAAGCAACCCTCAATAAAATGTTTTTTTTAATGAAAAAATTTTCTAGGGAAATAAGAATTAAATAATTTACTATTGATAGCTTTCATAATGGTAATACCAAGTCAAGAGCTTCGCATTTGTTTGTTTTAAATAACATAAATATTGGCAATAAATGTTTTATGTGCTAAGAAAACATACGTTTAATCCTATAGATTGTCACAAATTCGTTAGAAAAAATAACTTGTGGCTTAACAGCTCAGTTTGTCATAAAATAATATCGTGCAAAAGGAAGATTAATTGCAAAATATATCATCTACATTTTGGTAAATCTGCGATGTTAGGAAATTTAGTTCATGAAGGAACAGTAGATGTTTCTCATACTAGACCTAGGACAAATATATCAATTTCAGAAACACACCCCTTACTATTTTTCCTTCTACTAGTGCTACTACATTAAACCATGAGAGTTTTTGTTCTACCCCATCTGTTCCACCTACATCAAGTTTTAATATAACTATATTATTATCTACCGCGTTTGTTAATATTATTTGCCACAATGGCGATAATCATAGAGCTAGATTCGGCTAGTCAGTATTTTCAGTGTTATAATAGTTATAAGATGAGACAGAAAACATCTGATAAATAAAACGATACAACATAATACTTTTTTTAATCATGGGACTGAAATGAATATAAACAAATTATATAGATAACAACGATAAGGCAAACGCAAACTGTGGGTATAAATTAGATGAGTTTAGTTTTCGAGTTGTATTTATTGCCAGTTTAACGCTACAGTAAGTATTTTTTTTGTAATATAATTGATTAATTGAATTTCTTCTTTTGTTATCTAAAGAAAAGAAACTGTCCATTTTCACGTTATGATGTTAATTTTATTTATACAAATTATTAATTGAACACATCTAATGCTATTAATTGAAGTAGGATTTGTAGAAATATTAAAAGAAAAACAAAATTATTTTCTTCTGAAATAAATTTTAATCTGATGAAATATATTATACTGAATAAGAGGAACTTTTTTAATGACTCCTGCAGTGAATGCAACTTACCAATATGTAGGTATCTCCTGTTATTGTGGAACAGCCAAATGGAATAAATTCAGTATCTCAATTATTGTGCATATTTGTAAAAAATTTACGTGATACGTCCATTTTGGATTCGGAAATGACATCCTGCAAGGTAAACATTTTATTCCTAAATTCAACCCCGTTCGAGTGTCAGTTACAACCCCTAAATTTTTAAATGGGAAGTAAAATACTATGGTTTTAATATTTATTGCAGAAATTAGCAGTAAAAAAATTAATTCATCAGTTTGACGAAATTCGCTACAGCAAACTAAAAAAAAAACTTAATTTCAAAGAAAATGTTCAAAATTAAAATGTCTTCTAACGGTTTCCAACATCTGAGGTGTGACCGACCTAACCGCAACCATTATTTTTTTCAATAAAATTGGCAATGCCAGCTGTGAATAATTTTGATAAGTTTTTATATCATCTGTTTATGTTGAAAGAGAACACTGAAATTGTTATTGCTAGCCTACAAGAACAAAACACTGTTTTTATATTTTTGTTTGTTGTAACAAATTTCGTTAAGCAGACCATTAACTTTTGCAATAAATATTAGAACCATAGCATTTTTAAATAGGCAATGAAAATACCTTTCAAATGAGGTTCACAAACTCCTACTTCTCATTTAAAAATTTAGTGGTTGCAACTGGCACTCGAAGAGGCTTGATATTGAGGATGAAATTTTTACGTTGCAAGATGTCATTTCAGAATCCACAATCGACATATATCGGGATTTTTTTATAAATGTGCACAATAATTGAGATACTGAATTTATTCGATTTGGCTGTTCCACACTGTATATTTAGTTACATTTTACTTTTTATTTATTTACACTTTCTTTTATTATATACTTGCACCGTAGTTGTATAATACGTTTTCTAGCATATTTATTTAAAAATCATTCTTTCTAAACACAGGCATTGTTCTAAAACTTGTCAAGATAGAGAATACATAAAAACTAAGAGCACTCGCTTATATAAACATTTTTCTAAATATGGATAGTGAAAGTGATATTAGGAAGCCCTTTAAAAGGTAGATATTACTGTACCTATATTTTTGTGGTATCATAATACTTATCTTAGGAGTTATCTTATTTTAAACTTAGATTTTAAATTTAGATATCAGATTTTGTACTCTATTTTAAACAAACTCAAAAATTTTTAAGAAAATCTTATCAAATGAAGTCAGTGTTCTTCGATACAGAAATTTAGGTATGCAAAAGATGCATACAACTTCACAGACAAGACACCCAGCTACTGGCATTGCGGAATACAATTTCCCAATGGGCTACAAACAGGCCCCAGCTAGTATTGAATTTTACTACGATAATGCTTAGTAAACAGTCTATGTCTAAATTAATACAAAAACACATACTTGATATGTATGTACTGAAATTGTTGTCAATTCAGCCATTCAAATAAATATCCTGTATTCTTGGTCTATTATCATCCTTGAACTAATCACGTAAAAAGTAGCTATTATAAAGAGATTGCATGTAGAATAATATTTCTTGAATGATTGCATTATTTAACAATTTCAGTATATCAGGTATTTATTTTCGTTTCAATTATATTCATATTTGACAAAATTTTGGAAGGATTTGAGAGATAAAAGTTATAACAGTATTCAGAATCGAAAGAAGAATTTCCATAAATTTTCCTCGTTTTTTTTCTTGAGACTATCAGTTTGTTTAAAATTGACCAAGTCGAAAATTCTAGAAATGGCCCAAACAGTTCTGAAACGAATAAAACCTATTTTTTGACCAATTCTATGGCCCTCTTCAGATTTTCCGAGAAAAGCTTCTTTTTTCGAGTAAAACTGTCGTAAAATCTGAGTCATAATTTTCCGGTGCATCCTCCATTTTGGTGTTTATCAAGTGACAGTATGACAGTTAATGATAAAATGTTTTATTTTTTCAAAAACCAGAGCACTAATTTATTACTCAAATCCCACATATTGCATAAGGGGATATCTTCAGTGTGGTATTAAAGTGAATCACTTTTTCGCACCCTAGTTTGATAATTTCACGTCGCGTGTCAAAAACTTTTTGGACTGACTACGTACATAATTTATATTAAATATGTACTTGAATGATTTAACTTAAGCAGCTGATTTTTTCTACATAATGAAACAGAAATAAATTAAATGATTGTAATCACTAATCAGAAGAGATAATCTGTGGTTAGTTATGCACTGCTGCGAAGCAAGTTATCATCCCACATCAAAAAGCAGTGTCGAATGAGTTGTCAGTATTATAATAGTATTTCATGATATCATATCATTATCAAACACAAGAGATTAATGTACCTGCACCTATATATAAATTCTGCTAACTGACTTATCTGAAAACATATTTTAAGGAATAATAAAAATGTCCTATGATGGCTTATTGCAATCTGCAGTATTACGGTGGCTATTTTATGAGTATATTATTTAATATTTTCCACTTCTATAAGCAAAAATAGAATCAAGAACGTCTTCACACAGGATGTTTTCTAAATCTATGTCCCATCTCGGAAAATATTTGATGCAGGTTGATGAATCTTGGGCTAATACTTATTTTTATAACGGCAAACGTTCATTGAATTGAATTGTAAGCAAGACGTAAGAAATTATTATGGTAATGTGTTTTTATGAGAAATTCAGATGTAATGTAATGTAATTTACCTACGATCACTACTGTAAATACTTAAAAACACACCGTCTGCGATCAATGTAAGATTCCTATTACGTACGATAAAAAAATCGCACAGTTTTTCTAGCAACGGTCAATACAATCAGTATTGTATTGACCGTTGCTAGGCGGTTGCTAGGAAAACTGTACGATTTTTTTACCAAGCTGTGCGATTTTTTTTACCGTACGACGTAATAGGAATCTTACATTGATCGCAGATGGTGTGTTTTTAAGTATTTAAAGTAGTGGTCGTAGGTAAAGTATAGTACGTAATACGTGGTGTAATGCAATTACGCACTCTCCGCTACGCGGCGTCGTGCGTAACTTTTCCATTCGTGCGTAAAATGCTTTTTACAACACTTATTACGTAATATACTATTTTATAAAACACAATGTACAATGTATTTTTTTATTTTCACTTCCTTTACAGCAAAAATGTCACTCGACCTCTACTACAACCCAATAAGTCCTTCCTGTAGGACAGTCCTTTTAGCTGCTAAAGCTATTGGAGTCGATTTAAATTTGAAACCATTAAATATCCTAGAAGGAGAACAACTTAAACCGGAATTTCTAAAAGTAATCAAATCAATTTTATTATAATATAGGTGTCAAATGATTTAAAAACGATATATTCAATTTCTGTAAATTAGCCATGTGTCGAAATTTGTGTATATACATGTGTTTTAGTTAAATCCGCAACATACAATACCAACTCTAGTTGACAACGACTTCTCTGTTTGGGAGAGTAGAGCAATCATCACGTATTTGCAAAACAAATATGGTAAAAATGATTCACTCTATCCAAAGGAACCGAAGAAACGAGCACTTGTAGACCAAAGACTGTTTTTCGACTTGGATCTGGACTCGCGTTTTCATCAAATTTATGTAAGTATAAAACAGTTTTATTTGGAAATTTTACCGAAACTTATGCAATAGAATAACAGAAGTTCTCTTATATATTTTCCGCCGTTGCTCTTCGAAAGCGTTCGGAACATGTTGGTATTCTGCTTAAAACCACAATTTTATTTATTTTGTCTCTAGGTTCAAGACTTAGATATATTTTTTTTTGAGCTACCGTTATCGAGGAATTAACAGAAATACCGAGAAAAACATTTTCCAAGTTTTTTAAAACTGTTCAGGGACTTGGGAAAATTTTTTCAAACTCAATCAAGAGGTCAGTTAGTTAGATCATTTATTCAGCTTCAATTTGATTTTCAAAAGGTCTCCGTGTGACTAATGGTTTCCGAGACATCGATCGTTGAATGGAAAATAACATAAACAATTAAATTCACAATCACCCACCTACACCCAAAATATGGCCGTAAACTAGACTAGAGAAAATTAATTTTATTGTTAGCAATAATGTTGATAATTTAATAGCTAAATTAGCATAACTGTGGCATCTATATCTCTGTGGCATGTTCGCACATTCACCCTACATATTTTTTCCTTTTGTTACATGCTACATATTAATAATTGTATCTACTTATATTTTTCAGAATCGGAATACGTTAGGTGGAGCACTACCTGATCCAGAAAAACTTAAAGCAGCCAACGAAAGCTTAGAGTTTTTAAATACCTTTTTAAATGAAACAGAGTTCGTTGCAGGCGACCATCTTACTCTATCTGATTTATCCTTAGTGGCTCAAATATCTACCCTTGATGTAATGAAACATGATCTGTCACCTTACAAGGACATCAAAAGATGGTATGACAAAGTCAGGGTTACTGCGCCTGGTTATAAAGAGGCCAATGAAGATAATTTGATAATACTTAAGGAAATGATAGAAAAATTCTCTAAAGGACACGAATAGATATATTTATATGTCCTTTAAAACACGTTAATTTAATACAATTATTCTTGTTTTTGTTTAGGCCATATTCAATAAACTTAAATATCAATTGTTTCTTAAGTTACTTTTGTCCTCTGTCATAGATGACTTGCCATGTACAATTTTGAAATAAACTGTTCCTTGTTCCTTGTGGTTTGAGTGCAAAGGGGGGGGGTCCTGATAAGAAATATACAAGGTGATTCACAACGTATCCAAAATAATTTAGGAATAGATGCGTTATGAAAAATGGAGTCAACACAGTAAACAAAATTTTTGTAAGATCCTTACAGTTTCCGAAAAAAAATTGAAGTTGTAGTATTTTCCACTCTTACATCGCTGGGCTACTGTGGTCTCTAGCGTCATTCGTGTCGTGCGTTGTGCGCAATGCGATTCTGAATACTGAAATCCGATTTTGGTGTTAACGTTTTGCGATAGTGTCTACATTAGTTTTTAAGTGTCAAAAATGCCTTACATGTATAGCAACTTGAGTTGATAGATATCGCTTTAAGTTATAGTGAAACAAGACAATATTTGTGTTATGGTGAGGCATTTGTGTTATGGTGAAGCAAGACAACATTTGTGTTAGTTCGTAAATACTGGATAAGACAGGCCAAATGTGTTTACACGTCGGTGAACAAAATTTTGAACAGTTGTTTAACATAACACAAACTAATTTTATTAATTAATAATAACAATAACGGCAAAAGCAATTTGAATTACTGATATAACACAGGTGTTACAATATTTATTTATTTACTTCTTGGCAAAAAATTCTTTCAATTTTTTGTCCGTTTATACACTTTGTCGCCGTGCCGATTGCCGACTGAATTTCTTTGGATAAATTAGTTCTGAATCACCCTGTAGTACCCTACGTTTTCTTTGAATAGATATTATTAGTTGAATGCAAATTTTACGCTATATATAGTTATTTTGTTAGTTAATTGATTTGTATAGAGTTTACATACATATTTTCCACTTTCTTTCTTTCTTATCCTTACAAATACTAAATGTAAGAGTTAGGTACTATAAATTTTGTATAAAATTTTACACATTTTTAGATACAGTCCGCTGTAACACTTTCGTACATATTATTTGGCAACCTAATTAGATTATTTTTCACATTATGATCATTTCAAATGGATAGGTATAAAAAATGTTTACATTAATTTTTATCAATTTTTGTTGTTCACAGTTAATTACAGGGTGAGTCAAAATTCACTCCCCAGCGGCCGGATATATTTTCTGAAATAAAAAATAAAACAAAAATGTAGAATACTAAGAACTCGAAAGCGGAGCTGTTTTCGGAAAATTTTGTAAAGAAAAATGCAAATTTATAATTTTTTTGTTTAATATTAACACCATTAAAATCCACCATTTAAATCCATCCAAAATAAGAAATAGCAAAAACGAAGATCCTTCTGGCTTTGGCTAACCTTCAAAACCATTACCATTTTCGTTAATACACTTCTGCAATCTGTGGTAGAAACTCCTAGCAACAGAACAGAAATTAGCTTAATTTATTTCCGCTACTGCTTCATGAATCCTGCCAACATCACAGTAAAATAAACATTTTCTTTTATGTATCCCCATAACCAAAAGTCTATCGGTATCAAGTCAGGAGACCGGGGTGGCCATGGTGTTGGTCCACCCCGTTCAATCCAATTATTAGGTTCAAAATATGTCGTACTTGTAATGTGGCATGTGCGGGCGCACCTTCATGCTGAAACCACATAGTTGCACGTTGTTGTAGAGGAATATCTTCTATCAAACCTGGCAAAATTTTCTCGCAAAAATTACTGTAATTTTCACCATTCAGTATTCTTGGCAAAAAATATGGACCTATTATCTTTTTCCCGTAAATATACCTAACCAAACATTTACGGGCCAATGTCTTTGCTGATTCCGCTGACGTTTTTCATGAGGATTCTCATAATGCCAATAATGAAAGTTGTGGTCATTGAAAACTCCTTGTTTTTGTCCGGACAACTTGATTAGTCTGTCGAAATTTGCGCATTTATTGAACTAAAATTAATAATTTATTCAAAAATATATTTTTGTTTTATTTTTTATTTTAGAATATATATCCGGTCGCTGGGGAGTGAATTTTGACTCACCCTGTATAAACATTTTCCATTAAAACTTCATAAGTTAACTTTTTATGCTATTGCTTTCTGAAGTTAAATATAGGTACTTTGTTTTTTTTTTTTTTTGATTTACTGTGATTCTGTACAGCTCAAAATAGAAAACAACATCAGTTAAATATGTTAATTTCTAAAAAGGACCAATATTTTACTAAAATTAAAAGTCTGTACGATTTGAGTATACCTACTTACATTTGGAAACTGACGTAGAAAATTTTCACGTTAGATTTAGAATATTAAATGAAACCAAATATGCATTATTTCTAAAGATTGTGGATGAGATAAATACGCTTAATTTTGACTTAGATGAAAATGATAAAATTTTAGAGACTTTTGTTGATTTATATTATAGAATTTTGTTTAAAGCCGATCAGATTCTTCCGAAACATAAATTAAATCTTACAAATAATTTTAGTTATATTCAAAAAATTGTGCCCAAACTTCCGTCAATGGAATTACTAAGCTTCTCATATAATAATAAAGGGTGGCTAATATTCTATGAATTTCTCAGGAATCTTATAGATGAAAATTATGATTTAAATTAGTGTGATCGAATATTGGATATTTCACATTACAGAAACTTGATTAGGAAACTTATCGGTTATCTGAAGATACACGCAGGCACTCTTACATGTCATCTTATGATGGCATTATTATTTTCGTTAAGGAGGAAGGAAAAATTTATTTGTATCCTAATAGTTCTAGAAAACGTCTAAATAATAATCCTAATACCAAATCAGAGGTTTCGCATTCGTTTCTTGTAAATAACAATAATATTGGCAATAAATGTTTTATGTGGAAAGGAAACACACACTTAATTTTCTCTTGCTCAAAATTTCTAGAGATTAATCCTATAGAACGTCACAAATTCGTTAGAAAACATAACTTGTGGATTAACTGCTTAGGTTAATCATAAAATAATATCGTGCAAAAATAAAACTAATTACAAAATATACCACTTTAGGCACCACTCTTTACTACATTTTGGAAAATGTGTGACCATGCTAGGAAATTCAGTTCATGAAGAAATCGTAGATATTTCTCATATTAAGGCCCGGCACAAATACATCAATTTCAGAAACACCCCTTACTACTACATTAAATGATATAAGTTTTTATTCTACCTCATCCGTTTCACTTACATCAAGTTTTAATATCTACCTCGATTGCTGATATTATAGGTCACAATAGCAAAAATCATAGAGCTGGATTTTTGCTAAATTTGGCTAGTCCATTACTTGTATTTTCACTGGTATAAAATATACAAGGTACAAATCTCCTATATCTAATCTAAGTCATTTAATTTTTTTTTAATTAAGAACATTTACCAAAAAATGTAATGTAATGACTATTACATTTTCATAAAATAAAAAATGTTATTCGTTTGTGAAATACTAAAAAATATAGTACTTTTCAAAAACTGTACATCCTGTAACTTTTAAACCGTTACCAACTGAACATGGGTTTGTAAGTAAAGCATAATTTGTTATTTTCTGCTTCCTTTCTATTTTTACTTCACACTGTAAATTTTTCTATATAGGTGCGACAAATGGTACTACATAACCATTTAATTCTTGAACAGCTTTATTTATCGATGACACTGGTTTGATTTAGTGATAATCAATTGTAATTATCGATTAGATAAATAATATAACCCATGGAACAAACATACAATGATGTAGCCAAAATTTATGGAAATGTATCTTAGCCCTCCTTAGTACCTTTAAAAATGTATATTATTATGAAATTTAATCGTTTTAATTATAGAATTAAGTAGACACAAATGATTTTATTAAATATTTCGATATTGTGTGCCTTCATAAAAAAAAAACATAAGTGTGTGATTATAAAATACAGTATTTTCAACCATAGTCTTGGAATTAGGTAGGTACTTGCAAAATTTGGACTAGTTCTCCTTGAAACAACACACAATAATTATCACCTAGAGCAGCAAGATGAACAATGTAGGGATTCCAAACACATATTTATATAGTGTTGCGCAAGATGTTGGGTATACCTACTATTTCAACTCCTGCAAATGATATTTTTGACGGAAAAGGTATGTTTATTATTTGTGTCTTCGATATAATGGGTATTAACTTAAAACTTAATGATATACGATAATACATCTGATCAAATATGACTAATAAGTAGATATTGTATTTCTGTGAAGCATGGAATAAAGATAACAGCGATAACGTAGATATACAAACACTATAAGATGGTTATACCTTTCGAGTTGCTTTTAGAATGAGTTTAGCGTTAGGGTGAGTAATTTTTGTTTGCTAATATAACAGTCATCATATTACATATCATTTTTATTAGGTAGATATAGAATTTATAATTACTATACTTTGTTCTGCTTGTTTTTCAATAAACAAGTTTTATAATATGATCTACAGTAGTACTTATATAAGTATAATTTTCTTTCGTATGTTGTCTTTTACATGTCTCGTTATGTGAAGTTAATATGGCAAATAAACCGTTTGACTGACGGCTCTACGGGTTATTAAAATTTTATTTGTTCTTTCACTGTGCTAGAGATATCTAATAATGTAAAAAATGTTAAAAATAAATAACTAGGTACAGACAATATTGCAAGTATTATTATTGCTTTTACTACAGCTTAACTATTATTTGTAATAGTATATTTTTGTTTTATTTGCAGTTAGAATCAGTATTTGTCCATTTTGTATTACTTTTATTTTACTTATAATTAAATACTTTTATAATATGACTGCAGATTACATTTATCGTTTATTTGATTTGAGTAAATCATTTTTCTACGTTTCTAGATAAACTGAAATTAGGTTAGATGATGTTAGTTAAATTAGGTAATCAACAGATACATGCGTATTATTTCAGAGTAAGTTACCGTACCTACATCAAAAAGTATAATATGAATTATATTACTTATACGGGATGTTCAAATTTAAGTTAGGTTTTTAAATTTGTCGCCATTTGTGTTTTTTATACTAGAATGGTATTGGTTTCCTGACAGCTGTTAAACGTTTTAACTGTGAATTGTGCTCGATATCGAACGATGATTAATAACTTTTTATGGGATGAATTTGAGCGGAATATATCTTTTCAATGGGGAGATGCAATATGTCACACAGCAACGGAAACGATAGATCTTTTGAAACAGAAATTTGGAAATTGAATAATTTCTCGAAAAGAGATGTTAATTGAGCACCAACATGATGCGATCTATCACCATTAGATTTCTTTTATGTTCTCTTTTTAGATAGCAGAGTTTATGCTGACAATCCTCAAACCTTTCAACAGCTGAAAGAAAACACAATTGAGCAAATTACTCAAATTGAACCACCATTATGTGAACACGTGATGTAAAAGTTTGCTAAACAATTGAAGGCTTACAGAGCTGCAAGAAGTAGTCACTTATCAGATTCTTTTCCATTATTAACCGTAAATTATGTGTTTTGTTAAAAAATTAAACAGTTAACTCAAATTTGAACACCTATCAGTATTGCGTATAAATTGCAATCATTTTAAGGCATAAATAAGATACAAATGAAGCATAAACTCAAGTAAATAAATAATTCATCAACTCATATTAAGGTATTTTATGTCAATCGAAAATTAATACGTGTTCGTTCTCAAAATTGCCGTTTCTGTTTAAATACATGCTACAGATTTGGGAATGAAAGGAATTTAACATTAACGCAAACTGATCTTAATCATGTTTTTTTTTATCTACTCTTGTTTTAATGTGAGGCTTTGGTTTGACGAAAGAAATTCTTAAACACAACACGTGGCTGATTTAACTGATTTTTGAAATTTTCACTTATAATAAAGTGTCCGAATAAACAAAGTTTTGCCACAAAACAATGTAATCTACATTATCGCAAAATAGAAAACAAGAATATCTTGAACTTGAAAATATGAGATGTTGTTACGCTTGGTGGTTTAGGAATATACAGGATGTCTCTTAATTCTAAATTTTCATAGATTATTTCTGGGCCAAAGTTAACAAAATAAATTCAAATCAACTAAGGATCAACTCCAATCCAATTCCTTACAAAGATATAGCAGCTTGAATATAAATTATTGACAATAATTTATTTTCGATATCTTCTAAATCGATTGAAATATTAGTGTCGCAATTTGTACGCTATTTGGTACAAGGAAGGACTTCAATAGTAGATTTGTACGAGGTGTGGGTAATTGTAATACAGATTGAAACCTAGAATTAAGTGTAGAGACATGATATAAATTCTTTAAAACTAATAAATCTGCATTTAATCAAATAATTTAGAAGATATCATATGTCAATAAGTTGACCCTTAGTTCATTTAAATTTTTGTGTTAATTTTAGTCAAGGAAGTAAATAGTATATTTAGTCCTTTCTTTAATATCATTTAAAAGTCCTGTAACATATTCAAAATTTCGCCAATTTTAATATTGCATAGATCTACTACTATCAGTATCAAATATGCATTTTTAAAATAATCTTACGAAAACAGTATGTTTTACTTAGAAAAATGAGATATTACATAACTAAACACAATACCTACAATTTTTTTATATTCACTTTATTTGCAGTAAGAATGGCACTCGATCTCTACTACGCCCCAGGAAGCGCTCCCTGCAGGATAGTACTTCTAGCGGCTAAGGCTATAGGTGTGGATTTAAATTTGAAACTTTTAAATCTTTATGAAGGGGAACACCTTAAACCGGAATTTCTCAAAGTACGCAACATGTACCGAACGGTTCAAAAATTATGCTTATTTTTACAAATATTTGCACATTTTTGTACATTACATACATAGCAATGTGTTATTTTTTAGCTAAACCCGCAACATACAATACCAACTCTAGTTGATAATGGCTTCGTAATTTGGGAGAGTAGGGCGATCATCACGTATTTGCAAAATAAGTATGGCAGAATCGATTCCCTTTATCCAAAGGAGCCAAAGAAACGGGCAGTTGTTGATCAAAGATTATTTTTCGACATGGATTTTTACTTCCGTTTGTATCAAGTTTATGTAAGTGTGATAGTATTTCATGTTTCTCATACATCAAGACATCATGTTTTTGTTTCATAAATTCTTGATTTATATATTTTTGTGTTTGTGACTGTAAGAGTAATAGTGTATTGTATTTACATTTTCCAGAATCGGAACACCATAGGTGGAGGACCACCGGATCCAGAAAAACTTAAAAAGGCTAACGAAAGCTTAGAGTTTCTCGACACCTTTTTGAATGACTCCGAATTCGTTGCAGGTGACCATCTTACTCTTGCTGATCTATCCCTAGTGGTTCAAATATCTAATCTTGAAGTACTGAAACATGACCTGTCCCCCTACAAAAATATCAGGAGGTGGTACGATAAAGTCAAAGTTACTGCCCCAGGATATAAAGAGGCAAATGAAGATCATTTAGAAGTAGTTAGGGAAATGATAGAAAAATTCTCCAAAGGCAACAAATAGACATATGTAGAATATTATTTGCAATAAACTAATTTAATATAATTTTATTAAATATTAATTTTCGGACCCAAGTACTGTGAAGACTTTTGGTCAGTAACACAAGACCAACAACTTACCATAATTTCAACCAATTTGACCAAGCCCACATTTTCATAAAGGAGTCCTTGGTCCTTTCTAATGAATTCAACCCAGACAAGCAAAGCAATGGTTCAAAAAGTTATTCTGTTTTTTTCCTATCTACCTACCTGTAAATATTTATATTACCTACATACTTAAACATATTGAAGCTGTAACAAAACAAATTGTGTGAATTATATTTAATTTTTTTTCCATTATATAAATATCCGATAATAAATTTTTAAATATTTTTTTAATCTAATTAACTGATATATCTCATTGTTAAAGTTTAATTGTTTCTATGATGTGATCTTTAATCTTAAATTATATAACTGAATTAATACTTTGCTGATAATATCCATAATTATTTATAAAATCAGTTGGTGGTTATCGATCTCGAAAAATCAAACACACTTTTGAAATGTAATTAATCTACCGTAACTACCTCTTTATTGAGGTTAGGTTGGTTCAAAGGTCAGTTAAAATTCCGTGTAATTATCATTTGTTGGGTAATATTATAAGATTTTTTTTATCGTAATTTTAAACAATAATAATTACTTTGCGTTACATGTGATTAAGTTTATTGCTATACAGAAATAAAACAATTATGGACATACTTAAATAACTTTTAAAAATTTAATTTGTTACAGTACGTAGAAAAGTGATTATTTAATCTTATAAAGAAGAAAGATTCAGTAAAAGACGTCCGTGTCATCCCACATTCTTTTTTAATTTGATGCTTAACGCGTTTGCCATGGTCACCTTACGATCTTGGGGTTCTCACAGTTCTTGCTGCAGAATAGGGATAGGGGTATAATAATTCCAATTTGTGAAGGACCGATTCAATGGACTGCAAAATATCTCCTTCACCTTGGACAGAGATTAAATTCATAGATTCTCTCGTTTTCTTAAACAACATATATATCCTTTACGTCATCAAAGTTGGAAGCTGTTTCTCTCTAAAACCACACGATTAGGAATGCCATTTGGATATTCTTATTCATTATGGTTATCTTCTCAAGAACACAACACTAATAGTATTATCAACTACCCGTTAAATGATAATTTTATAAATATTTTTCCATTTAAATAGAATTTTAAAATTTAGTAACTAATTGAATTTGTAACTACTATAGGCTACTACTGAGCTCTAACATTCTTACCGTCAATAGAGTTCATAATCAGGGTTCATTGATATACCGAACTTCTGGTCATTTGCTCTGTGTTGGTCTAGTGAGGAACATCCTGTATGTGAGGTAAAACAGTTAGATAGAAAATAATAATGGTAATATATTTTAAATATTTAGTTAGTAAGATATGATTATTACTTTTCCACTTTTTCTTTGTGCTTATAATATAAATATACTTGTATCTTATCTCTATCTTGTATCTTATAAGTTAAGTTACACGTTATCGGTTTGGAATTTTTAACGTTCCAGAAACTTATTACTCTCTTAAGGAGACAGAAATATGAGCTTCCTCTCGCTAGTATTTTTATTAGGTATGTGCGCTGGTTTACGTCGTTTCCATTCATGATTTAGAGTCACGTAATTTTCACATGAGTTGTTTCTATGTCCTAGGTCCTAGATTTCAGGTTCTAAGTTCAAGGATTTCCAAAAACTATCTTCCACTTGCTAGAATATTGTATTATTTAAGTTTATCCTGTACCCTGTCACTTGATTTCTCATGTTATTCCTTAGATAACAGTTAGACTCCTTCCCATGTCTTGAGGTGTTATGGTGTTATTATTGTGTTTGCCCAAAAAGAAACCTATTTGGTCTGCACATTCTTGTAGGTACAACTTGTTATCAGATATTCTCCTTTTATTTTTCTTATAGGTCTGATGATTTGTTTAATAAAAATAGNATAATTACTTTGCGTTACATGTGATTAAGTTTGTTGGTATACAGAAATAAAACAATAATGGACATACTTAAATAACTTTTAAAAATTTAATTTGTTACAGTACGTAGAAAAGTGATTATTTAATCTTATAAAGAAGAAAGATTCAGTAAAAGACGTCCGTGTCATCCCACATTCTTTTTTAATTTGATGCTTAACGCGTTTGCCATGATCACCTTACGATCTTGAGGCCACAGTTCTTGCTGCAGAATAGGGATAGGGGTATAATAATTCCAATTTGTGAAGGACCGATTCAATGGACTGCAAAATATCTCCTTCACCTTGGACAGAGATTAAATTCATAGATTCTCTCGTTTTCTTAAACAACATATATATCCTTTACGTCATCAAAGTTGGAAGCTGTTTCTCTCTAAAACCACACGATTAGGAATGCCATTTGGATATTCTTATTCATTATGGTTATCTTCTCAAGAACACAACACTAATAGTATTATCAACTACCCGTTAAATGATAATTTTATAAATATTTTTCCATTTAAATAGAATTTTAAAATTTAGTAACTAATTGAATTTGTAACTACTATAGGCTACTACTGAGCTCTAACATTCTTACCGTCAATAGAGTTCATAATCAGGGTTCATTGATATACCGAACTTCTGGTCATTTGCTCTGTGTTGGTCTAGTGAGGAACATCCTGTATGTGAGGTAAAACAGTTAGATAGAAAATAATAATGGTAATATATTTTAAATATTTAGTTAGTAAGATATGATTATTACTTTTCCACTTTTTCTTTGTGCTTATAATATAAATATACTTGTATCTTATCTCTATCTTGTATCTTATAAGTTAAGTTACACGTTATCGGTTTGGAATTTTTAACGTTCCAGAAACTTATTACTCTCTTAAGGAGACAGAAATATGAGCTTCCTCTCGCTAGTATTTTTATTAGGTATGTGCGCTGGTTTACGTCGTTTCCATTCATGATTTAGAGTCACGTAATTTTCACATGAGTTGTTTCTATGTCCTAGGTCCTAGATTTCAGGTTCTAAGTTCAAGGATTTCCAAAAACTATCTTCCACTTGCTAGAATATTGTATTATTTAAGTTTATCCTGTACCCTGTCACTTGATTTCTCATGTTATTCCTTAGATAACAGTTAGACTCCTTCCCATGTCTTGAGGTGTTATGGTGTTATTATTGTGTTTGCCCAAAAAGAAACCTATTTGGTCTGCACATTCTTGTAGGTACAACTTGTTATCAGATATTCTCCTTTCATTTTTCTTATAGGTCTGATGATTTGTTTAATAAAAATAGTAATAAAAAGTTAGTAGGTATGTCCATTTCCTCTAAAAGGTGAGAGAAAAGATTCCTCATTCAAATGTTCTGGTTTACAGGTGGTGATAAAGTTCAAGTGGTGAGCATAGTGAATCCATAGCTGATCCTTCGGTTTGTTCATAAAACTAATCCCTAAAGACAAGATGGATTCTTGTTTTCAATGATAAGCTTTCTATAATATCCTTCCAACACTTCTTTAACTGACGTTTATGTAAACAAGGCAATCGATTTGGAATGTTCAATTAGATCCTTAAGAAATCATTAGAGAGTCAACCACAAATACTACTTCATTCTCAACTTTCTTGATCGAATTGTTTTTGATCTTCTCTTAACCTCCAATGAAGAATGTAACGTAACAACCAATCCAAAAATTAAGTATTAATTATCTTAACGAAATAAAGCAGCAGCCTAAGGACAGAAAATGTATCAATTTATTGTGTAACCTATGGAATCGATACAATTTTTCTACTGCACGCTGGTAAAGGTTAAAATATTATGTTTTCATATTTATAGTATAGCTAGCGAGCGAGTAAAATTAAACATATCTGTTATTTCAGTTCCTGCATATAATATTTTTGGGCGGGACAAGTATGTTTGTTCTTTGTTTGGTCCTAGATAATTATTTAGTGATTGTGAGATAAAGAATAAAACACATCTGATAAGAAAATTATATGAATAGCAAGTAGGTATTTCAGTTATCAGATTCTAGAAAGATACTATGACTAATAAAATTATAGAGATAACAGCGATAATGCAGAGGTAAACATTATAAAATGGCTTTAGTTTGGAAGTATCTTTAGACCAGCTTAATATTTGGGTGAGTAATTTTGTTTGGTAATATAAATAAAATTCGTTATTAAATATGTTACTATTTCTGTTATCATTATTTACTACCTGCGTAATTTTTGTTATCTATGTCAATTTTGGAGGTTTTTAAGCTGACTGCTATAAATATACACATTTTGCGAAAAATGGTATTAATTGAAGTCAAACTATGTTATTCGATACCAAAAATTTAGGCATGAAAAAGATATATAATTCCACATACAAGATTATTAACATTGATGGGAGATAAGAGTTATATTACTGCGCTTTCTGCCTATTTCCCGCTCCTCTCACCCATAACGGCCACCCCACTCTGTGAAATTCTACTGCGAGTTTAGTCTACGCCCTAGATAAATGATACTGTAGATAGGAAACTTGAACAAATTTCGTGGTCAGTAAGAGCGCTAACTGTTGACACTTTCTCCAACTTCTATTGCTTTCCTTTTCTAGGAATTATCGGTAATACAGCGAGTTAAATTACCTGTAGCCGGTAAAAGATGCAAGCGCCATCTAGTTGTACGCTCTACAACTATATACCTATCCAATATTTATTCTAGGTATTCTGCCGCCGCTAAATTTAACATTACATAACAAATCTCACCCTACACAGATCACTCAGAAATTGGTTTTGTAAAATAATTTTCACGTAGATAATTTTTGTCACCATGAGAAAATAAGTACATTTGATAAAAAGCATTAAAATCACTCAAGCATTAAAGACACTTTTAAAAGCTCTAATAGCCTTTCTACTTAAAATAAGAAATAATTTTGATCTAACTTTTTGAAATGTTTATTGAAAAAATTTCAAATTTCAGTACACATTTTGAAAAAAAAAAGGAGTAGAAATGATTATAGAGCAGCTTTCAGTGCTTTCTATATTGTATTAGCTTTCACGGTGAAT